TCACAGAAGAAGACGTCGACAAGGCAGAGGAGTCCACCGGGGAAGGCATACTCATCCGAGTAAGTAAAAGTTGTATGGTACACTTCAACGTACTGGGACTGGATGTTTTTTTTTTTTTTTTTTACAAATGTTTACCTTCTTATTGTCTCTACACTGCCAGGTCGCCGACCACAAAACCACTGTGCAGTTTGGTGAGGCCAACTTGGCCCTCACACCGGCAGAGCACACGTGGATTAAGCGGATCAGGCTCCTAAAGGCCAGGATGTTGGTGAAGAGCAAATACCTGCTCTTCACTATTGGCGGCCAGAATTTCTGCAACATCAACAGGTATTTGAGACAGGCATGGACACAGATGGGGCTGAAGGGGGACATAAATTTCACCCCTGATCCGCACTGCCATTTCCAACTGCGTAAGTATAATCGCTCTCTTCCGCCATCTTCTTTTCCATGCACACATGTATGAATTGCTAATGATTCAGACCCCTCCTTGTGGTTGCATGCCTAGAAAAGCCTGCCTCCAAACCAGCGCAAGAAGGTCAGCTTCATGATGTGTCATGATACAAAAACAGCTGACAGATATTATACAAAAAACCCAGGCATGACAGAGGCTCTGGAAGTCAGGGAAATGGTCAAGAACATGATGGTTTCCCCCTCCCATGAAAGCAGTGGTGGTGAGACCCTCCCTTCTACCTCAGGCACGGCACCATCTGCTGAGGGGAGATCCCCACGAGCCCCTCGCAGAGAGACGGGGAAAGACCAAAAGGGCTCCGTCCCCGGACAGTGACAGCAGCTCCGACCCTGACAAGAACACGCCGGTTGTCTACCAGGAGTCGGGGACTTCCTCTAGTGAAAGTGAGATCGTCCCTGAGACCGACTCCGAAACCAACGCCGAGACCTACGCTAAAAAAAAACAACGCGAGGCAGGGACATGAAACAAAAAACTAGTTGTACCGTGCTCTGTAAAAATAAGCCCATTTAAATGGCACTCAGAAGGATTGAAAAACAGAGCAGCAAGATGGTGCGTCACTTATTGGACAAAAAATAACAGGCAGATACGATTTAATATGTTTCTTTGTTCCCTGTCGTTCATTTTGTTCTTGAAGTTCAAGCAGTGTTGTTTTTTCATCCCAAATATTTGATAATGTTTACAGTGTACTGTTGTAAAATTATTTTCTTTAAAATTTAAAAAAAGGTTCATTTTTCTATTTTTTATTTTACAATAATTTAAGT